TCGCCAGCGCCCTGGGTGCCTGCGATGTAGGCTTCAGGGAGAGGGCTCCACTGGTGGAGGTGGGGGTTTAGCTGTGTAAGGTACCTGCTCCCCGACACATAGCCAGGTTTAGGGTTGACTCACCTCTATGGAGGGTCTGAGCCGAGCACTGGGGGAAAGGTGACCCAGGGCAGATACGGCCAAATGAGCCAAGTGGTTGTGCCACCACAGCTCTCTTGACAGGTGGCTAAGGGGCAGGAAACGTGCTGCAGGGATCCAGGGACGGATAGTCACATCTGTGGTAACCCAGGATGGCTTCTGGGAGGAGGTGGCCTTTGCCCTGTACTCCAATTGCTGGTGGTTATTTCATCTGCAACAGGAAGGATAGGGAGGACAGAGGATGAACCGGAGCACAGGATACAGCTGTGCCCTGAGCAATGGGGTCTTGCAGGAGTCCCCACTGGGGTGCTTTTCTCGGTGCCCTGCAAGAACAGTCACGGTCGCCACGCATCAGGTGGCTTCTGTGAGCCAGGCGCTGGGCCCAGCCTCTGCAGCCCCCTCGTCCTTCCTCCTCCCCACGACAGGGGGTGGCAGGTGCTCATCACCCCCCTTTTCTGGGGGAAGAAACTGAGACTCGGTGAGAAGAAGGAAATTGACCAAGGCCACACAGTTAGCAGAGCTCGACCCAGGACTCAGAAGGGACCGGGGCTGGTTCTTTTTGCTTTGCACTCAGTGGGTGTCAGGAAATGTGGGTTCCAAGTGACATGGGCTGAAGATCTAAGAAAAAGAAGAAAACATTTCCTAAAATTCCTGGGGGGAGGCCGATAGTCAGCCAACTGCTTTCTGGGGGGGGGCAGGGTCTGCAAACGGGGGGTCTGGCTCTGACCGGGCTGGGATGTGTGTCACCTCTTGCCCTCTTCCCTCTGCCCCTTGCCTTCCACACGTGTGCACAGGCCTGCCTCCCCCCCCCCCCCCCCCCCCCACCCCCCCTGATCGCCCCTACCCCCTCGCCTGCCTGCCTGATCGCCCCTAACCTCTCTGCGTGCCTTCCTGATCATCCCTAACCTCTCTGCCTGGCTGCCTGATCACCCCTAACCACCTCTGCCTGCCTGCCTAATTAGACATTGTAGCCTCCTTAGTCCCATGTGGCTCAGCCGAGCCCCACGGGCCTCATGGCCTCCCTGCCTGCCCATCCCCGGCTCAGTCCCTGCAGGCCAAGCAGCGAGCCCTGCTGCAGCAGCTGGACAGCCTGGACCAGGAGCGTGAGGAGCTGCGGGGCAGCCTGGACGAGGCCGAGGCCCAGCGGGCCCACATGGAGGAGCAGCTGCAGAGCGTGCAGAGCGAGAGGGAGCAGGGCCAGTGCCAGCTCCAGGCCCAGCAGGTGGGTGCCGGCGGCGGGAGGGGGAGGAGCCCCCAGGTAGCTGGGTGCCTGCAGGCCTGTCCCCTGTCTAGGGAGCAGAAGGGGTGGGTGTCCCCAAGGGAGCCAGGAAGTGTTCCTCGGGCCAGGTCTGAGCCTCCCTCTGTCCCAGGAGCTGCTGCAGAGCCTGAACGGGGAGAAGCAAAGCCTGGAGCAGGCGGCGACAGATCTGCAGCTGACCATCTCGGGGCTGGAACGGGAGCTCGAGGCGCTGCGGGAGCGGGAGCGGCTGCTGGTGGCCTTCCCGGACCTGCACAGGCCTGTCGAGACCCAGATCCAAAGTAAGGGCCCAGGGATGGTGCACGGGGCACGCTGGGACCCAGGGCGGTGGGACACGGGGGTCTGCAACTCCCCAGCTTGTATAGACGGGGACAGGGAAGCCCAGAGGTGAGGTAACTGCCCAGGGTCACACAGGTCTGGCTGCCTGTGTGGACTGCTCATCCCCACATGCCAAATGCCAGCCTTGCTCGACTTCCCTGGGCCCCTGTCCGAGCATCTCCCAAACCACACCATGCGGCCGGCTCCAGGGCACAGCCCCAACTGTCCAGGGTCCCGGACCCCATGGCCCAAGAGTGCTAGGGACCCGTTTCAGCAGAGGACCTGGGTCCTGGTCCGGCCCCTCCAGCCCTCCCTCTAAGCTCCAGGGGTGAATCCATTCACAGAGCCGCCAGGAATATCCATGCAGTCTAACTGGCCACGATAAGTCATCACCCTGAGCGCTGACCTATCGCTACACGCCAGACCCTCTGTTGCCCTCTCCACTGCCCTGGCAGGCAGGGAGCTGCCACTTTACAAATCCAGGACCAAAGAGGGCAGGGGCTTGCCCCGGAAATTTCAGCCCCAAGGAAGCATGACTCCCCGAGTGATGGGGAAGCGCATCCTTGCAAATCCCTGGCTCTTGCCCAAGAGCGGCCGCGTGGCCTTGGGCAATTCGTTGTCTCTCTGGCCTTCCAGAAACGGGCTTGTCTATTTGCTAGGTCTGCAGCCAGCTCTCAGCTTCTATAATGTAGCCTCCTAGCAGGTGGGGGTGGGGAGGGAGGCCAGGCCTCGGGAGAGGAAGGATGATGGGAGGCCCGTGCACAACCCTGCCCGGCTCCCCTGTGCCTGCGGGCCACCGCCCAGGCCCTGTCCTGGCGGGGGAAGTCCTAGGTAACCTGTCCCACAGGCTCCGGCAACGTCATGGACGACATGGAGAGGCAGGTGCAGGCCAACGACATCCGCATCCGGGTCCTGCAGGAGGAGAACGGGCGGCTCCAGGCCATGCTGTCCAAGATTCAGGAGGTGGCCCAGCAGGGGGGCCTCAAGGTGGGCAGCCTGGGCCCTCACCCGAGAGCCCACCCTGGGAACCTCTTGAGAGCCCCCTGACGCAGGCGGCTCTAGGCTACTGCTGGAACATCCTGTGTGTGTGAAGATGGGAGGCTGTCACAGGGCCTCTAGCTCCAAGTCCTTCCCGCTGGCCCTTCATACTCTTATTCCAAGTGCAGCCAGGAGCCCAATCAGAAAGCAAACCTTCCCACCCTTCCTGCCGCCGAGCCGGCCCTGGAGGCTTCCCAAGCCCTGCCCCTCAGAGGAACCGCCATGGGCACAGGCCGGGCCCTCCCTCGCCCTCTCAGGCTGTGCCACCCTCTGAGCAGGGGAGGGGGCCTGGGTCTTTCCGAGCTTGGCTCTCTCTGCAGCTGATCCCGCAGGACCGGCTCTGGGCCCGTTCCAGCCAGGGAATCCAGGGAGCAGCACCCCCCGTCCAGGCCCAGAGGGTGTCCTCAGGGTGAGTGAGGCTTTGCCAGAGGGGGGGCTGATGGGCGGGGCCGGGCCCTCTTGCTCACAGGGGCTCGTGCCATCTGGTCCTCCGCAGGCTGCTGGGCAGGTGGCACTCACCTGGCAACAGGGCAGCCAGTGCGGACAGGATCCTGCCGGGCCCGCGCCGGGCATCGCCGTCTCCGCAGTCCTGCGGCCGATCCAGCAAGTCCCCCCTGGAGGATGTGACCTACTCGACCACCTGTGCCCAGAACCCCATCCAGGTCTTGGCCAGGCTGAGGAGGAGAATGTCACCAAGCCGGGGTCCAGCCAGCCCTGCACACCAGTTCCAGGAGCCGCCCATGTAGCCTGCAGTGGGTGGGGCTAAAGGACGGGTAGCTGGCAACCCACCCAACGTAATAAAGCCACACCATCTACCCACAGTGACCTGGGGCTCACAGCACTGTCTGAGCCGGGGCAGAGCCTTCCTTCCCCGTCCTGGGCAGGGACCACCGAGGCCCCCGCCATGGAGATCAGCCAGCAGAGGCCGGGCACACCGTGAGACCTCAGTGAATGGGAGCCCCTGACGGGCAGTGGGAGAAGCGGGCTCACCGAGGGCAGAAAGAAGCTCCCGGCACCCGGGCCAGGTGACAGGCAGTCGTTTGACCCCCATAGCAAGGCCAAAGGGGGCGCAGTGACACCCCAGCAAAGGGCAGGGTCGTGGAGGGGGTGTGCAGGATGGAGAGCAGCTGGAGGAGGGTCCACTGGGGGTACGTGAGCTAAGAAAGGAGTCTGAGGCTGGGGTCCCTGCTCTGGACTCGGCAGGGGGCAGTGACGCCTCCCCTAGCCCCAGGTCTGAACTTGGGGCCTCCCGGCCTGGCTCGGAGGACATTAAGGACCCCTTTCTTTGAGGAGTCCCTTCAGGAAATGTGAGACACAAAGGGTTTCTCTGGAGCCAGGAGACTGGATCCCCAGGAGGCCACTGAAAGCCGGGCAGGGCCCCACCCAGCCAGAGATCGGGGCACCTAGCCTGCCCTGGCTCTCCCGGGCCTAACCCTCATGGCCCGGCACTGGTGCCAGCAGCCAGGCCAGGCCCATTGCAGTCCAGTTTCCTCGGGGCCTCCAGCCTGCCCTGAGCCACGACGGTGAGGGACAGGCCCTGAGACCTGAGGGCTTCGGGTGGGCGCCCCCAGCTCCCTGACATTTTCCCTGGTGAGGAGGCCCACAGGTGGAGCACCCCGTTTACAGAGAAGCGTCCAGAGGGGCCACGTGTGTAGCTGAGCTGGCACGGCCAGGGTCTGTCCAGCTGCTGCTGTGGAGCCCGGGGTCCCTGAGGGAGGCTGGGGGCTCCCTGAGGCCAGAGGCCCAGGCCCAGGTGCAGGGGAAGGACATCACAGCTCAGCCCCTCTGCATCCTCAGCTCCCAGCTCTGTGGTTCACAAGGCCCGGCCGGGGTGGCGGGGTTCTCTGCTCAGGGTCTTCGAAGCTGAGATCAGAGTGTCTGCCAGGCTGCGCTCCGTCCGACGGCTCCGGGGAAGCATGCAGGCTCCTCCGGTCCTGGCAGAATGCTGCCCCTGCAGCTGTGCGGCCGACAGCTGTCCGCGGAGCTGCACAGCTCAGAGGCAGCGGCCCTCCTTGCCACGTGGCCACTCCATCTCCAAGTCGGCAGCAAAGAATTCCTCCCATGGTTGGGTGAAGCCCACTTGGATGTGCTCCCTCTCGGGGACACTTCATCACGGAGTCAAAGCCATTCGAGCCCTAGTTCCCGGATTGTGCAGGCGTGTTCATGGGGCTGTCTTACAACCCTCCTCCCTTAGGCAGCGGAGCCCAAGGTTTGCTTTTTTAATCTTAAAACATCCACGCACATTTTCTTTCTTACGTTAAAATATATCCTTGTTTATTTTAATAGTAAACCACCTCCCCTACCCCAAGTCTTCTAAAAAACGGACTCCCTGGAAGATGCACCACATTTATCCGGGGCTTCAAGTGTCCTGGGCAGTGACCGTCGCCCCACCGAGCAGCACAGAACTGGACGGTTTCTGCGGTCTCTGGTCTCCCCAGGCAGGAGGGGCCCCGCTGGACGGCCGGGAGCCCTTGGCTCCCAGTGCCCAAGGCCCGCGGGCAGGAGGCCCCTGGGTTTCACATCCAGCCTTGACCAAGATGTGTCCTGAAAGATGGTCTGGCCAGGGTGCCCCCGAGGCCAGACAGCTGCTCCCCGACCCACCCCCCAATAAATAAGCACAAAAGTGGCCCCTGCAGCCTTGGCCCCGGGGTGTCCTGACGGGCAGGCAGAGCTCCCACCGCCCTCACATCTCCCCAGGCCCGGGGGCTGCCTGCAGAGAAGGCAGACACCCCAGGACTGTACACAAAGGCCCCAAAGGGGCCTCTCCCTCACTCGCCAGCAGGTCTGGGCCCGGCACCCTCGGCCGGGGGCAGTGGACGTGGTGGGGTGCCTTGCTCAGCAGGGAAGGCCCCATCTTCCCTCCCACCCTCAGGGTTTCCTGTCCTGCCCAGGCCGAGGGCCAGAGTGCAGGTTGGGGGGGGGGGGGCATCTCCCCGTGCAGAGCGCCAGCTGGGGCAGCTAATCCTCTGAGTAGCGGTTCCCTGCAGGGAGGCGGGGAGAGAACAGGGAGGGCAGCGTCAGGTGGGGACCAGGTGGAGCCAGCCCAGGGCCCCACCCGTGATGCTCACCCAGGACGTTGAACTTGCACAGCGGGCAGGTCTGCTGGAGCATCAGCCAGGGGTCCACGCAGTCCCGGTGAAACTCATGCTTACAGGGCAGCACCCGGAGCCACTGAGGGGAGGGGAGGAAGGGCTCAGGCCACAGCTGCGGGCCTCCAGGGGGTGCCGGCCCCTGTCCTCACCCAGGCTGGGGAACTGAAACCCCAGGGCCCTGCCACCCCCATCCTGCTTTCCGTGGTGCTGGTGGGGGTGGTCCCCAGGTCTCGGGTGGAGTGGGGGAGTCACAGGTCAGCGGATGGCGGGCCTCTGCCTGGGCCTCACCTGCTTGTTGCAGAAATAGTCCAAGCACACGGCGCAGGTCTCCGCGCCCGGCTCCGGGGGGCCCTGCGCCGCCCTGCCCAGCCTGCAGCGCCGCGTCTTGAGGGACGCCAGCCTGCGCACCACGCGGCGCTTGAGCAGGTCCACCTGGGGGGAAGGACGCGCACCGTTGGGCAGGGCCGCGGGCTGGGGGCCCGGGACTCCCTGGGCTGGCTCCCACCTGGCCTCCGGGCTCCTGCTGGCTGTGCCGGGACGCCTGCCGCTGGGCCTGCACCACGAGGCCTGTGCACAGGAGCATGGCCACCAGCAGGATGGCGTTCCACAGCTGCTGCAGGGGCTTCTGGGGAGGGAGCAGGGTGTCAGGGACACGGGGGGCGGGGGGCGCCCTCTTCCCCCAGTAAATCCACCCCAAGGACCAGGCAGGTGCGGTCCCTCAGCTCGGCTCCTGGCTCCCTCTCCTGAGGCCTCCGTCCCAGGGTCTCCCCGGCTGTCTGCTCCGTCCCACACACGAGGGACCCTCACTGTCCCCAGCCCAGGCCCCTCCTGAGCAGCTAACCCGTGCAAGTGTCTGCCTGGCCAGGACTCCCCACCCCACCCCCAACCTGTACTGCTGCTCTGCTTTCTGGCGCCATCACCACCCACCTCTGTCCGGGCTGAGCGTTCACACCCCTCGACAGGGCGCCAGTCCCGGGGGCTGTGGCCTCCCTCTCCTTGGGTTCCATGTCCCCCCTCTCCAGCCCACCCCTCTACTGCTCCAGCCTCCCCCACCGTTTCCCGCCACAGCCGCAGACCTGGTCACCCCACTCCCCTCCTGGACACCCTCCCCCAGGCCCGTCCCTGCGTCCAGGAGAAACCCAAACCCCTAGGCCTGCCTCTGGGCCCTCAACTCCGCAGCCCCTCCCCCTGCTGTGTTCCTCGCTCCCCTCCTCCTCTTGTGCCTTCCACACACTGCTGCCCTCTGGGGAGCCCCATCCTCCTTGCCCCGTCCCTGGGCCACTGTCTCTGGATGCCCCTTGCTCTGGAAGCTCTGCCTGACCAGGGCTGGGCCGGTGCTCCCTCGCCTCGCCTGCCCAGCTCCCCGCACACCTACTCTGCACGTGTGCTTCCTGGCTGCTGCGGATGGAGGAAGGAAACCCTGTGTGACCCGCCTCACTGAGTGTCTCAGCGGCTCCTGGAAGGAGGGA